GATCTGTTAGAATAGTTGTTGATGGAATTAGTGGGAACCATGCATTTCAGTCAATGCTATATCAGGTGTCTAAGGTTATCAAACTATGAGAGTTATTGGTATTGTGGGAAGAAAACGAATACATATCCTGATAGACTCAGAAGTACCCACAACTTCATGGATATGGCTTTAACACAACAATTGGGATGAAAGATAGATCAGATTTCACCACAAACAGTAACAATTGCTGATGGGAATCATTTAGCATGCCTAAGCATTTGTATAAATTTTTCTTGGAGACTACAACACCAAAGCTTGATGCCTTACTCATTCCTCTGGGTGGATGTGACATGGTACTAGGAGTGCAGTGGTTGAGCACTTTGGGACCTGTCCAATGTGATTTTAAGGCCTTGACAATGAAGTTCAGTTAGCAAGGAGCAACAATGGCATTGAAGGGAATTCCAGTCAACAAAATAAAATTGAAGAAAGGAAGTAATGTTGAGAAACATTTGAAAGAAGCCACTCAACTCTGTTTCATTCAAATAATTCCAAAGGGAATGAGGGAGAACCTATTGAATTTGATATAAGTTGTAAAGCATGCAGCAAGTGTAAACTTGAATAACATGGACCCAGAGTTACAACAGCTTCTTGAAAAATATGCTCCAGTCTTTGAGGATCCCAAGGTCCTTTCTCCCTCTAGAGGAATATTTGATCATAGATTACCTCTTGAAAATGGTACAGGTCCTGTTAGCATCAGATCTTTTAGATACCCTTTGTGTGAAAGGGATATTATTGAGAAACTAATTCAAGAAATGCTTGTAAGTGGCATCATTCAGAATAATGTCAGCCCTTTTGCATCACCAGTGGTCTTGGTAGGCAAGAAAGATGGGTCTTGAAGTCTATGTGTGGACTATAGGGAATTAAACAGAAGGACTGTGAAAGATACATTTTCTATTCATGTCATAGATGAGCTAATTGATGGACTGACATGATCAACAATCTTCACAAAATTGGATCTAAGAGTTGGATATCACCAATTTAGAGTCCATACAAATGATGTCTATAAAACAGCATTTAAAACTTATGGACACTATGAATTTTTAGTAAAGCCTTTGGGCTTACTAATTCTCCTGCATCATTCCAAAGTTGGATGAATTCAGTATTCAGACCACTTCTCGGGAAAGGTGTTCATGTTTTCTTTGATGATATTCTAGTATACAGTAAGACACATCAAGACCATATAAGTCATATGGAAATGGTATTTCGGCTTATGAAACAGAAAAAAATGTATGCTAAGATGTCTACATGTGTTTTTGCCATGGAGAAAGTGGAAAATTTGGGGCATTTTATTTTTGGAAAAGGAGTAGAGAATGAACCAAGGAAGATAAGAGCAGTAGCTGACTGGCCAGTACCCAAATCAATCAAGGAGTTAAGAAGTTTCCTTGGATTAGTAGAGTATTACATGAAATTTGTTAAAAACTATGTGGTTATCAGTATACTATTGACAAATTTACTGAAAAGGGAGCAGCTTAACATTGGAATATGGAAGCTCAAGTTGCCTTTGAAACATTAAAAAGAGCACTTACATATTCTCCAGTACTGGTTGTACCGGATTTTAATCAAACCTTCATAGTAGAAACAGATGCTTCAAATGAAAGTATTGGAGTTGTTTTAATGTAGTCAGGGCAGATCATTGGATACTAAATGGCAAAAGCTATCAGTTTATGAGAAGGAACTGATGGCTATAGTTTTTGCAGTACAAAAATGGGAGCGGTACCTGTCTGGCCAACATTTTATAATCAGAACCGATAAAAAATGCCTCAAATGGCTACTACAACAGAAAATCTCAACACCATTTCAAGAGTTCTGGCTCTCAAAGCTTATGAAACTTGACTATGAAATTGTATATAGAAGTGTAAAGGAGAACCTAGCAGGAGATGCATTATCTAGAGTACAAGGTTCTGAAATATTGTGTTTAGCCATTTCATTAATCAGATCTGGTAAAAAAATACCTCAAAGATTCTTTTTTCGAAATTCATAACTCCCAAATACGAAAAAGGGTTTCCTCGCCTTTCATTCTCTTTCCTCTCCAACGACACCCCTTCAAAGTCTTTCACTTCTCTTCCCCCAAACTTCCAATTGTTTTTTAGGTATAATAATTTAAATAATTGTTTTCAATTGTTTTATTCTGTTAGTATTATATTATATATTACTGTTGTTGCAGACAATTTATATGCTGTCAAATCCAAACGGGGACATGAGACTGTATGAATTTGTGGGTATGCTTGGGCTTGTGACGTTGGTGTTAGCCCAAATCCCATCTTTTCACTCCTTAAGACATGTAAACTTGGTTTCTTTGGTGCTAAGCCTATCTTATAGTGCCTGCGCCACGGCGGGTTCCATCTATATTGGTATGCAAACAATATTCATACCCAAAAAGTAAATGAAATAATGATACATTGATACGCATGTACTACCTCAAATCTTCAAAAATTGAAAGTGGATGAGATTATGAATAGTGAAAGAGGTATAAATTATTGAGGGTATGATGGAAAGATAATAAAATACTGTGATGGAATGATGGATAAACCCAAAAAAAATAGGTGTAATAGTGTATTATTTTTAAAATTATTGAGGGTATGATGAGAAGATTTAGAAATGAGAAGATTATTTAGTTACGGTCGAAAATGGAAAGTGAGACGATCTTTACGCTACAGAGGTAGTACTATATATGTAGAAAGAGAGGGGTTCGAATAAGAAAAACCTTTTAGGCGAGAAATGAGAACGAAATTCAGCTCTTAGACTCGACTAGGTTATACGTAGTAGTAAAAATAACTTCATGTTACACTAAAATAAGCAATCTAACACGGTGGCATTTTCGTAAATACTTTTGTAAAATTTGTATTACATTTGTCTACTGCAACTTGAAGTTTTTTGGTGCAACATTATCAAAGTTTAGTACAACATGAAACAATTTTAGTGTAACATTGCATAATTCTAACTCCCTAAAATCATTTTTTGTCAAACATAGCAGCCTTTTTAAATGGTTGGAGGAAAGTTTGTGATTACGGAGTATTTTTTTAGACAAAAAAAGGTTTATGACTATGATGTTACTGAAAACAGGAGTTTCGTCGAAAGGGCCAAAGAAGGATTACAGTGTGAGTGGGGATAAGGAAACACGTACTTTTGGCATATTTAATGCTGTAGCCATCATCGCCACTACCTACGGCAATGGCATCATTCCTGAGATTCAGGTCCCTCATCTTTGCCCCTATCGTCTTTCTCCCATTTTATTCAGATTTGCATGTATATGAACTCACACAAATTTTCTTTTAGTGGGACAAGAATACGTACGTGCAGAATAAATTACAAATTAGAGTTCTGCAGTTTTGTTGATAAAAAAGACTTCACTATCAAATGAATAAGAAGCCCCTTTGATAAAAGCTCATGATCAATTGATTCTGTAATGCTCGATAGTCGAAAAACGTGTTTTTGAACAAACTTGGTTAAAACATCAACTAATGGCATAGGGCTGTTCATCAGGAACATTCGGGAAGTGATCAATGATATACAATTTTTATTTTCTGCTTTCATTTATGGTTTGTTAAATGTGATGATACTTGTTGTTCTTATGTTAAAATTGGTGTTTTCTAGTTTATTTGGTTGTTTGCTAAGAACATATTCAATTTCTTGTTTATTGTACACATATACACAAGTCACAACCTCGCTAAAGTTGATGACCCTTGTTTGTAAACAATACGACAATGAACATGAACGCATAAAATACTACTCTGTTCGATTAATAAGTCCCAAACATTTATAAATCCTTGCTGATCTCAAAGAGTGTTTGACTCTTACCAGGCTCCGTTCGATTAAACCCTGCTACTAACTACATTATATTAGTGCAGGCAACATTGGCTCCACCGGTGAAAGGGAAGATGTTGAAAGGACTTTGTATTTGTTACGTAGTAGCGACTGCAACTTTCTTCAGTGTTGCCATTTCTGGCTATTGGGCATTCGGGAACAAGTCCAAGGCTATAATCCTCAGCAACTTCACTGCAACTTCACATGATAATAACAATTACTTTTTGGTCCCCAAAGCGTTCGTTTTAATCACCAACCTGTTCGCCATTTTGCAACTCTCTACTGTGGCTGTGGTAAGAATTGCATAATTCACCCCCCTTCCTCCTCCTGATGGGCTTGCTCTCTATGCGAAATCGGTTGATCATTTTTGCTATATTGTAGGTATACATGCAGCCAATAAATGAGTTGTTAGAAAGAAGGTTTGGAGATCCTAAGAGTGAAGAATTCTCAACCAGAAATGTGATTCCAAGAGTGTTATCAAGATCGCTGTCAGTCGCAGTTGCCACGGCATTAGCTGCTATACTGCCGTTTTATGGAGACATGGCTGCTCTTATTGGTGCAATCGGATTTATGCCGCTGGACTTTGTGTTGCCAGTTGTTTTCTTCAACTTAACATTCAAACCTTCAAAGAGGAGTGTTGTTTTCTGGCTAAATGTGGGTATAGCTGTGGTGTTCTCCATCGTGGGAATAATTGCAACAATTGCTGCTGTGAGACAGATCATTCTTGATGCTAAAACCTATAGATTATTCGCTAATGTGTGATTAACTTAAGTTGAGCAACAATGAAGGTGGGCAGGGTTCAGCAATTTCTTGTGGGGCCATACATTAGGGTTTCATCACTATTTAGATAGATGACATGATTATCTGACTAAAATGGCTTACTATGTTGAAATTGTGGAAGAAATTACAGAATGTACTGAATTATCTACAGTTCAAACTCTGTTGTCGTTAAACTAAAGAATATAATGTCTAAAAGATTAGTAGTGGACATGTTGTTTCAGTTCATTTCAGAAATAAAAACGTGTAGTTTTAACTTCTCGATCTGATATACGAAGTAGTTAATACTGCCAAATATGTCAGTCCTGCGGGAGTTTAAAAATAAACTAAATCAGACTTGTAAGTTTAAAACTAACATGATTTGAATGATAAACCAAATAGGAGTGCTACCAAACAGGAAAATGCTGATTGCCTTATTACGTTCATTTATATGAGTTTGGCAACAATATAAGCAAGTATCGTCGTTCACAAAGATCATGACCATTTGCTCAAAGAAGCATTAGAGCTTCCATAAACTAAAATCCTCAGCTCAACCAGCTGAAATGACTAACTCTCACTAGTGACTACCATATTGATAAAACGTTGTCATCATTAATTGAGCTTTGAATGAAAAAAAAGACAAAATGAATATCTGGTCAATTATTTGTATTTCACTCATTTTCATATGTATGCCCATAAAGCTTCTGCCAATGCAACGATGCTTCTTCTGGCGTCCGAAAAGTCCATATGTGAGGCTTGGTTTTCTCACGCTTTTCCAAAATTTCCTGTTGGAAATCCAAGAAAAAGGAAGGATAGTATCATGTAGGTCATATAATGAAAATGTTATTTAGCTATGAACTTCATATTGTGAACGTAGTACTCCTCAAGTGGAAAATATCCAAGTGACATTCCCCAATGATGTCTTAGAGTAGACCAGTAATATGCTACGAAGTATTATTATATGCCACAGTGAATGAAACAGTAAAGATCGATGAAATTGTTGTGTTTAAGGGTCCTATGGATACTAAGGTTCTTTAAATTCACCCAGGACAAAAAGGTAATAATTACTTACTCTAAAGTTATATCTAATCTTAAAACTTCTGTTTGCTTTTAATTTGTTTAACTCTCGTTTAACAATGTCCTGAGCTCTTTTCCCAGGCCACTGTTATCATCTATCTCTCTCATTTTATCATTTCTTCACATCATACACAACCTTATCTAATCCTCTTCTCCCTGCTTTTCTTCTTACATGGCAGAAGTAAGCTAAAGCTCTCATGAATGGCAACAATGAAGCGTTACGGAGAAGTCCCCTCACAATTTTATTTCTCTTTATTTTTCATCTCCCAATGGTGACAATGAATTGCTACGTAGGACTCACCTCGAGATGTAAAAACCTCCGCTCACAGCCAAATTTGGTTCCTCTGTAGAACTTTTGCTGTAACAAAAGCCAACGGTGGCTGACAACACATATTTTATTACTACTATATTACTTTTATCTTCCCATGAGTATTCGTGTGGGTAAGAATGCAAAATAGAAAGCCAACCCCAAAATCTTAGTTTCTGTGCCTAGATCCTGTTGCAATTATATTTGAATGGAGGGAGTATTACTTAACTCAACTGACGCCACTAGGACTACAGTCTGGCTCCAGTCCTGTCTAAGGCTTGCCTACAGAGACGGTTAAAAGAGAAAAATGGAATGTAGCCAGAGCTACAAGGCATAGTATATGCAGAAAGCATACCTCCACTTCAGCTTGCGACTTAGTTTTTAGTCTCAAACAGTCATATAGAGCACTCCATTTCTTAGAACAGTTGTCAAGTTTACCCAGCCTATAGTACTGCTGCATTTGATGGACCGGAGCTGCCAGACATAATATACACAATCAGTGAAGTTGAAAAGTTAAGCTGTGTCAAATTACAATCTCACACATACCAAATTTCATACAAATTACATATACAAATTTTAAAATTATATAACTCTCATCAGAAGTTCAGAAAGAAATTGATAGTAGCAAGTAGAAACTCCTATCAGAATGTGGTGATTAGTCTATGAACAAAGAGAAAACCTAACAAATGTGTAATTCATGCCATTATTTTTCTAGAGGTTCCTTTCCCTATTCAAGATCCCTAATTCTATTACACACATAACAAGCAAAGCTGGATTTTAAGTAATGAAAAGAAATATCTGAAATTGGAGATAGGAAAGAGCATACTGTAGCAGAACCAGAGTGCATCGAAACAGGCTGAGCACGATAGCCGCCGACATGGTTCCTTTTCCGAGCTCATAGTGATAAACTCTTGCAAAAAATAGTCTTGATAACGATTCAGTGTCGGAACTCTTCCTTCTAGAACTTCATGGTTTTTCCTTTGACACAAACCAGGCATCAATTATCATATCCAAATCAGTGATCCTTCCGCTTGGATTTACAAGAATTAGGAATCAGCATACGAGTTTAAGTTTTGGTTTTATAGATTTTTTTTATTTACTTCAGTTTAATAATGGTTAGAAGAATGATTATTAAATAAAAATCATATTACATTTTGATTTAATTCGATTCGACTCCGGTTTAGTGTGGATTTGTTGTTCTTATAAATATACTACGTCAGAAGATTTTTACGTTCTTTTTCTATGAATATTACTAAATTAAATTCAAAAGATGAAAATATGACTTATTTTAAAATTTTACAAAAAAAATGACATATTTAGTGATTAGTTCCCAGTGACTTATCATCTACTAGTGAGTTGTCACTCTGAAATACACTATAATAACTCTTGTCTAGTTACTCGTACAGAGTGACTAGTCATACTTTTGTCCAAAAAACATAACTAGTCATATTTTTATTCGGGAAAACTCTATTAGTGATATATGTCATTTTTTCAGATTTTATTGTACTTTTTAGTTAGATTTTATTCGGGTTTTTACTATTTTGATTCGGTTCAGTTAAGTTTAATACGATTTGAAAGAAATATTAGTAAAGTCAAGCAGAATTACATATACTTCAATTTTGATTCGATTTGGTACGTCCGATTTTTCTTTTCACTTTGGACTATAGAGATCTAACTTACAATTAATATATTATTCTTTACTATAATACTCCGTAATAAAATAATTTTAATAGATAGTACTTAGTAAGCATTTAGTAATGTTATTTGATACTTCCTCCGTTCCGAAATAATTGTCCTGCTTTCCTTTTCGGTTCGTCCCGAAATAATTGTCTCATTTCCTTATTTGGTAAACAAATCTATACAAAACAGTGTCAAACAGTGCAAAACAATGTCAAACAGTGTCGCTACAGTGCCAAACAATGTCGCTACAGTGCCAAACAGTGTCACTACAATGTGAAGTCAACTTTGTTTTCTTAATCTGTGTGAAGGTCAAAACATGACGATTATTTCGGGACGGAGGGAGTATTTTTTAGTTTTAAAATATTTGAATATTTCAATATATTGTTGAATAAGAATACTTAAGCATTTTGAATATTTAGTATTGAAATATATTAACACATTCAAATACTTAAAATGATTAAAGTTTTGGCCTAAAACAGTGAATTAGTCGCAAGTTTTCTTATGTACGAATGCCTTTTGTGTGAATAAAAAACGAACAAGTGCTTTAATGAAAAAGAATAAATAACAAGAACAGAACAACTTCTTAAGATGGCAGAAAAATCAGACAAAGATATCACGACAGAGGGCTATTAAATAGTCATACTCAACCAATCAATTAAATCCAATCTGTTATTTAAGAATTGCTTTAGCAAATGTACAGAACACCAAAGGTGGGTAGGGTGTGTTTCATTGTTTCGGCATTTGCAAAAAAAAAAATAAGATAACACCCCATTCCTGAGGGCCTCCAACACCGATCGGACAGTTAGATGGGAGGATGTAAGCTGGGCTTTGACCCTATGAACGCATTTGCTTGTTTACACCAAGGCACGGTACTCACATTCCCCAAATACCTCTAGGCTCTAGCCGTTGTTACTTTATTGCTTGGGCGGGATGTTAGTTTGAGCAATATCCGTGAAAATATATCGGAATACTTCGAGTCCCCAAAAAGCATCTCTGTGAATGTATTTTCATACCCAGGAGAACATTTTTGTTTTGTGGCTCTGACACAAGGCTCTCCAAAACTAAAGCTGCTTTCCGGCAAATTTCTGGGATGGGATGAGGAGACTTGATCACCTTCAACAACCCAACAACAGCCCATCGCTCACTAGGAAGCTTCTGTCTGCGATCCATATTGACTTCTGTGAGGTTATATAATGCTCCAATAGCAGCTGCTTGAGCATCAGTTGTTGGTAAGCTCAAAATATCAACTAATCTTGTATATATGTGAGAAGCGTAAGGAAGAAGGAAAGATTCATTATCAGGATTTATCATCAGACGGCTGATTAATTCAGCAGCTGCACAATGCCAGGCCTTGACAGGTAGACCCAAGCAATTCCCGGATGGAAAGAACAGCACGCTTTTCTGTCATTGTAAGGAAGGAAGGCTTTGATGAGCTAAAGATGTGAAGGTCTAATAAGTGGGCTAAACTCACGATTGTTTCAAGGGTATATGTCACCAGCTCATCATCCTCTTTACCATAATTCTCCATACACTGAAAGAGTGTTTCCAAACAATGTCGATGTTGAGCCATGATTACTTCATTGTCAGGCTGGTAAGTTCAGAAATAAGGGGAAAGAATTGAATGGCTAAACTCTCCTACTTTCTCTCTCACAGCAAGTATCTAACAAATGAGCCATAGTATAATCCAAGTGAGAATCTCCAAGTCTGAAATTAATATTGATTCTGCACACCCAGTCTGAATAAGGCTAGGCTATTTATAAAGAAGGATATACAACTCACCCATAACTGACTCATCCATGATCTAATAACTAACCGACACATTAACTCACTCCATCCACGATCTAATAACTGCCCCAGTGGACTGATGCATGACACCAAACCCCACTTATTTCTCTAACTGACTCATTTAAACAAATAAATAATAATTAATAAATAAATGAAGACTCAGTCAACAATTGTTCCTCGTTTCTTGCGCCAATGATCTGTCAGCACCCTATCACAGACATGAATGAAAAGTTGCGGATAATATTGGAAGCAGCGGCAGCACATAGCTGCTTTTCAGCACACACTTCCTCATCGAGATTAAACAAACCATCTTCAAGCCACCAACCAGAAGAACGCGCTTTAGCAGTAGGATTTTGAGCAGATGCCTCTTTATTGGAAAACCCTGATCCTGAGCTTGGCTGAGGAAGCGGATCATTTGAGTGTGATACTTCATTCTCATTCAAAAGTCCGGTAACAGCCACATTTGCACATGAAAGACTAAGCCTATGTATCTTTACATACACCTTTGGGAGGGCTACTTCTCGCTAGCCATCAATAATTTGAAGTAAAGCGTCAAGCAATGCAGGAATATTGGCAAGGGGTGTAGCATCTTTGCAAATACCATCTTTTTCTTTGAATGAGAGTAATGTGAGGGTATTCAATGGCCACGTTAGCTCACTCTTCAGGCCACTTTGAAGAGCCAGAACAATCCTTTTATATTTTGCTCAGCAAAAGCCAGAGCAGCCGTCGTGGGCGGATTACTCCCACCACTGCCAAATGGGCGGCCTCTCTTAGCAAGACAAGGGCCAGAACCACCTCCTTGCTTGCCTATCTCTCTTTTCTGCAACTTTTTCCGCTCTGTAACCCCGAATTAATCGCAAGCTAAAATGCTAATTGCTAAATGATAATTAGAAAAAAAAAGCATCACTGCACATTCTCTCAATTCTCTAAGCGGCGAAGCCTGAACAATCGAAAATTGAATAACTAGAACAATAAATTAATACTCCGTAGCATGTTGAACAAATAAATAATAAACCTGTAGACTGTAGCGTTGAAACGTAGAGTAGCAGATGCTTCCCTTTCCTCAATCGGCAGACCGCAGATTCAAATCGGCGGCCGCTATTCTGCAAAATAATTTTAATTCTGTTATATACTACTCCGTAGTACAGAGTATATTGCAACACTTTTATTTTGATGATACTACCTCCGTCCCTTAAAACTTTGACAAAATTGACCGGCACGGAAAATAATAAAGTAAAAACTGTGTGGTTGAGGTTTGTACAGAGAAGAGAGGAATAACAGAAAGCAAAAAATAATTATTTAAAAAGAAAAATGATAAAAAAATTTAGGACGTCCCAAAAAAAAGATGGCAAGTTATTTGGCAACCAACGGCTTTGACCATAAACACATTCAATTGACATTAGTATACAATTATATATCCTCCCAACGTAGTGTCCGGTCGGGCTTGGGGGCCCTCAGGGATGGAGTGTCATCCTTTTTTTTAGTATACAATTATATAAACGTCATATTTTAATATTTTAGTTTGGGACAAATTTTATACTACATAGTACTCCGTATTTTACTTCAAACAATTGCTTAGTACATTAATAAAAGAAATAAGTTAAAAGTAGAATGTGCGAATAGTGTAAAAGTTCATGTAAAGTATGTAAATATAATAAAAGCTAAAATGTTTTTATATTGAAAACGAACAAAGTCTGAGTACATTGTATGTGACCGGAGGTAATATTATTTAATTCACAAATGAAAGCTTACAATGTTAACTTCATCATCATAAAATCTTGTTGTGTTTTAGATTATGTACTTAACAACATATAATTACATTTGTGAAAAAAGTATAAGTTCATGGTGCTAAGATAATTTTTCGTATAAAGTTCAAGGTATATACTCCATATATTACATATGCAAGTTTAGAGTGATCTCTTACACTCCTATAAAGTTTGGGTGTTTAAAATGTTTTTTCCTTCTATTTATTACTACCTTTGTAATAAAGCATAAGTTCATGGTGCTAAGATAATTTTTCATATAACGTTCAAGGTATATACTCCGTATATGTAAATTTTACACTATTTATATGTTCTACGTTTACTATATTTTTTGTTAATGTAACAAAAAGTTTATTTTTGAGAAATAATTTTAAATTCTTCTCATAAAAATTATAAGAAATTGATTTTTTTTTATTTTTTTATTAATAGAAAATGAAATATATTATTGATAATAGTTGTACCTTGAATTGGTAAGTGTGAAAATGAAAACATTGCAACAAAAGAAGAACGAAGGAAACATTAAACAACTATTTCATTCGTTCCGCTAAGATTGTTTCATCTTTTTCTTTTAATTTGTCTCATTAAGATTTTCTCATATCAAATGTGCAATGTTTATCTCATTCAAAGTCAATTTTACTTTATTATAATTTTGTCAATTCAATATCACTCACATGAACTCACTTTTCTTGGTAATCGCACCACCCATCTGGTACAAATATTAGGAACAGAGGTAGTACTATATATATTGTCTTATGTTTTCAAGCAGATAAGACAGTATATATGTGCTTCACTGACGGAGTATTATTTTTTTCTGCTAGTCTCCTACAGCAAAAGCAAGAGATAGTTTAGATATTTTATTTTATTTTTGTTATTTTACACGCAAAAAAAGCATCATTATTAATTTGTGATGAAGTTAGCATTACACAATAATTCCTAATTATATTTCTTTACTTTCAAAATTTTAAAAAATTATATTGTACTTTCTTTACTTTTTAATTCTAAATTGATCGTATGATTGAAAATACCTATTAAATTTATCCGCAATAATATATGTGAAGATATGGATGTCTAATGAATTTAGATGCCCAGGTTCCAAATGGCAAATGAAGGCCCTCTAACACAAGAAAAAATATAAAGTTTGACAATGAAATACAAATAGACTAGATGTTTCAGTGAAATATAAGTTTTATATATTGAAAGTACACAAATTAGACAATCTAAAAATTATGCACATTTTGGAATCTGGAATAATACATTACATCTAATAAAAATTAACTTACACCTACTACTACATACTACTCCCTTTGTCCCGAAGTTAAGTTCTCACTTTCCTGTTTGGGTTGTCCCAAAATTAAGTTCTCACTTCAATTGTTTTCTATATTTAGTAAGTTTTTATTATTCATTTACCCTTTTACCCTCACATCACTTCATTAAATTGATGTGTGTTATCCACATTTCACTATTCGTTAACTCTTTTTTTATAACCATTTGGGCACTACACCTTTTAATAACCCAAACACATTTTTGAAAAACCGACTTTATTTACTATTCTACGTAAAAATCCGTGAAGTCAAACTAGGAACTTAATTCCGAGACAGAGGGAGTAATTTTTTTGTAGCTCTCCATAAAAATGGGCTCTAGTGTCATTGTGTCAAACGCCTCTTGCACCTTCTAAAACACGATCCAAATGTACCTTTTTTCCAAAAAACAAATATAGGATGTACCTAGTTCATTTTATGGGCAAACATGTGAAACACATTAGAATGTTTTTCACTCGATTGACGTCGATCCCATACCCGATCAAACTAAAAAATCAGACTAGATCAATATGGACTATTGACTAAAAAAACAGACTAAATTGTTGGAAAAACTGAGAGTATTTCAAATGAATAAAATGTTATTTTCTTTTTTTATTTTTCACACACTAATTTATTAATAAATGTTTATACAAAGGGTTTTTTACAAGAATATTACTAAAACAAAACATATTTACATAAATATGACTATTCATTACTACAATGTGATGTGGTAACTTAAGCTCAAAACTTGAATATGAATTACTATGATTTCATTACTGCTCTAGTCATTAGTCATATTTTTGTAAATCATCTTTATGTTGGTCATATTTATGTATATATTTCTTATACATATAATACATAATAAATTTTATAAAAGTGTATTAAATAGTCCATTAACATTATAAATTATAATACACTTTGAAATCTTGCAAACGTTAAGCTTTTAACTCAAGCTTTAATATAAAATGTTTTTTGGCCTGAGCTTTAAATAATATATGCTCAACGTATGTGGGATTTAAACAATACAACTTGAGCTTTAATTGCTAATATCTCACCTGAACCAATGGCAGACCCAAAGATTCGTCAGAGTAGGGGCACACTAGTAATGAAATTCTTGGCCGGAAACGGGGGCACTGATTTTACTCTAAATACTAGTAGTGAAATTACTGGCCGAAAGCGGGGCACTTGCCCCCCTAGGCCCCTCCCTAGGTCCTCCACTAACCTGAGCTGCAATGTACGTCGATAGCATTTTATATATATTCAGCTACTTGTTTATATTCGAAGATAGTAGCTACGAACCAAAACTCCCTCACATAATGTTTATGTCTGCTGGATTAATAATTTCTTTCACTCTCGTTGTTCTGTTACCGGCTTACACCGAAGAGCTCGTTTAATCTTGGGGAAAGGTTTTCGCTAGTCGGAAATACTTTCTTGAGGACAGCATCTACGCGACTCGAGCTATATTATTTTCTAATGCTTTTTTGCAGGTTTATCCGACCAATTCCACCAACAATCTCAAGAAAGTATTTGGCACCGGATATGTCTGCACATGTGATCTCACAAGGCGTTGCCGTCGCACTCATTGCGGCTATGATATCTTTGCATATGTGGTGCGATTTAGACTGGTATTCGGATATATCTCTACGTATAATGTTTATTCTCTTTATTTTCCTACTTACAATAAGTCATACTTTAACACCATTTTTTAAGAAAAATGTTATTCGTTCATTTAGTGGTAAAATGACAACTATGAAAAACAAATCACTAAAATAAAGTTTAAACTTGGTTTGTAGTGATGATAATATTGCGGTTGTTTCTCAAAGTTGTAAAACTAATGATGTGAATGAGTGGGTGGTAGACTCCAAAGCTACCAAGCATATTTGTAAAAATAAAAATGATTTTACCTCCTATACTATTATAGGAGATGGTGAAGAGCTCGTGTACCTAGCGGACTCTAAAACCGTTAAGGTGCATGGAAAAGGGAAAGTTCTTCTGAAGCTCACATCGGGGAAAACTTTATCACTAAATGATATGTTTCATGTGCCCGAGATTCGAACTAATTTGGTTTCCGTTTCTCTCTTGGGAAAAGTTGGGGTTAAAGTTTCTTTTGGTTGTGACAATTTTGTTATGAAAAAAAAAATGACGTTCTTGTGGGAAATGGCTACTGTAAGGATGGATTTTTGTGCTTAGTAATTTTGAAATGTTGCATGATGATGCTTCTGCGTACTTAAAGTTGGTTAATTATTGTGTTATGTAATATAATAGAGTTAGCGTTTTACATGGCAATTTTTTGTTGGTCTTTATTTTTGTTTGATTTATGAAACTCCTAAATATTTTAAGATTGATATTTAGTTTTATGGGAGCACCACTAGAAAATTGTGATATATTTGATGACTTTATGTAAATTTTATTAGAGTATCTACACTGTGATTAGAGGCGGTAAAAGTTCTTTGTCACATTTATTGGTGATTTTCGAGATAAACTAAATTTTATTTTATTTAAATTTAAAAGGCGAGTTTCTTTTTAATAAAATCATTGTGTACAAATAAATGTTGATGATGGATAGTGTACCCGGAGGGTAGCTTATCTAAGGGATATTATCAAAAATATCGAGAGAGAGAGGTCAGAGCAAATAGTAAGAGAGAGGGAGAGTAGGTGTGTATTATAAATGAGCTCAAGATTCGGATCCTTTACAATGAAGAAGAGGCTAGCTATTTATAGCTGCCATAAATGCGGTGTGAATAACGCAAGTACACGTGTCAGTTAACCAGCGGTGGAGAGTCTACTCAGATAGGCATAACATGTGGCACCGGCATAGCATGTGGCACCGCATTTAATGCGGTGGTTGGACATGACACCACATTTAACGCAGTGATTCAGAGCATGTGGAGAATAGATCCTGTCGAGGAGAGTGCCCTCGACTACATGCACCCGGGGGCTGCATGTGCCGAAAGCCATGTTGCCATTTGGGCCTTGGTGGCGTGCTGGGGACGTACGTAGCTGGGGAGGACCTCATGTGCAGGAGGACGTACGTCCCCAGAG